TGTAGAATTATATACTCAATAAAATTAAAAAAAAAATCCAAAGGCAGGATCAAGTACAATTTTCTTAGTTGTCTATTTTGGGTGTACATTCATGATCTGCACTTCTCCATGCTTTGACAACATGTCTAAAATGAAGAGAAAATGAAGGCAATGCCTAACTTCAACTGGTTTGTATAATGACCTTTCTGCACAAGTTACTCTGAAATCCATGAAATAAATACACACAGATTCTATATCCATTCACAAAAGTGAAGATGAGACATGACAATTCTCTGGAACATTCCATGAAACATTATCCTCTGATTTTATCTAGCTTGCCTCATTGTGGTGAGAGATTGCTAAAAAATACTGTTTAATAGGGAAAAAAAGTTAACTTCTGTGAGGAAAGAGGTATAATTCTCAACTTCTCTAAGGGTAAACATTATAAGAAAAAAACAAACAATGGCAGAATGAAAGTCAAAATTTAAGAAACAAGTGCATTATAAAGATAATAAAAGTGAAATTATAATGAAGATGCAAAAGAAAGCTGTCCCTGAAAAGCTAGTGTCCTGCAACACTCTGCGCTGCACGTTCACGGCCGACGTGCTGGATTTCATACATACTGGGTTCGCAGTTTGATGTGGCTTCCTCTCTCCATCCTGTCTCTTATTTTCTGAGTTAGTCGGATGATGTGCTGTCACCTCCAGGGACGCTTCCAACATGGACACTTTCTTTCGGGTGTCAGTCCGCTCTTGTTGAAGCTGTCTCATATGGGCCTAAAAAGATAACTCTGTTACTGAATTTTAAGTCACCTTACCATTAAGTTACATTAATAATATGTACCTCCAACAAATGGACTTTGACAACTATCCCCACAGACATCAGTTCACCTTCTTTTCCTCATAGGCACACATTCCTGTTTACTGAATTTCATTAAGCACACAGAAGGCGTGACCCTCCTGCCTTACTGACAGTAAGTTAACTTAGACAATGGAGGCAGCCCCACCAGCCACTCCCTGCCCCTCCCAGGAAGTGGCCGAGCTTCACCCCCACTGAAGTCTCAGACAGAAACGGGTGTGTGGGTGGGCTGAGTGGTGGTAAGTTCCACACTGTGGAACATTCTCCCTCTTTCTCGTTAGAGGCTTAAGTTCAGAGTCCTTCACATATTCAATCTGGTGTTTAAATCTTTTCAATAGACTCCCATCTCACAATAAAAGTGAGGTTATTTCAAAGGCCTTTGGGGACCCGAGACAACCTGGCGTCCCCTGCCTCCTGGGCTGCAGCTCCTACAGCTCCCCCCACCCCTCCCACGCACTCCCTTCCTGCCACTCAGGACTCTGGCTGCTCCTCCTCAGTCTGAAAATCGGACCCCAATGCCAAACTAGTACATCACAGAGCGCCCCAGTTCCTCTGTACTGGACAAACTTAGATCCAAGTGACAGTAACTGAGCCTTGAAATGAGAATTGTGAGCAAAGTATTTGAAAAAATGTTCAAAGTAAATTATAAATAGAACAGGGGAGACTAAGTCAAACACATTTACATTTGTCCCAAATTATGACTGAATGAAAAGTAGATGCCTTTAAGAAGCGGAGAGGTCATAACAATAAATAATTTGAGATGGAAATATGTCTAAATTTAATTCCAATTGACATGAATACAAATAAAATTATATCAACTAAAAACATATGAAAAGCTACTGAACGAAAAGTACTGCAAGATACAGCGTTTACACATCAGTTCATCTGGGAAATCTGGATTCGACTGTCAAGGTAATCCACCCCATTGAATCTTTTTTTTTTTTCTTTCACTTTTTTTGTTCACACATCTGAATCTTAATTTCAAAATACTCGTTTTAGTTCTGAGCATTTCATTTATCTGCTTCATCACGATACTAAAATGTGGTGACAGGAAGATTAAAATGATTTGGGCAGTATAAGAGTAAATTACTGAGACCTGCCTATATCTGTCAACAACTTCTAGCTTAATCTCTTAGAATTTCAGGTGACACGGCATCTTTTCTCAAAGCAAAGCACCTCTCAGGCCTAACTTTTGTTTGCTGGATACAAGATATGCTTTTAGGCTGCTTTACAGTGTATATATTTATAGCCCACACATTTTTTATATTCAACTAGTTTCAACATTTAGCTTTCATCAGATACTACTTTGAATTTTCTTTGAGGAAGTCTGAAAATTAGTTCCCTTTCTGGGTACTTACTTCCATTTCTGCTCTGTCCGTTACATACTGATACAGTCTGTCCTTTAAACATTTGAATTCATCGATTAATTCCTTGTTTCCTTCCTCCAGCATCAGAATTCGTTTGCTCATGGCTTCAAGTTTTCCCAGGTGATCCGGAAACGGCTCTGGGATATTAAGTATTATCTTTTTACTTTTGGCCTCATTTTGAGCAACATCCAGTTGCTGTCGAAGCAACATGTTTTCATTTTGTAGTTCACATACTCTCTTCTCCAAGAATGCCTGCTTTCCAATGTATTTGTTGACTTTTTCTTCTTTGCTCTGAGACAACGGTTCAGTTTGCTTGGTTGAACACTGGGCTTGGCCTCGGTCTCTATGCACACTTTCTAATACCAACGTTGTTGGTCTAAGAGCATCTCTCCTGGGATGGAGCTCAATTTCTTGGCCACGGAATTGACTTTCAGCTTCAGAAAGTTGCTGAGGAAGGACCTCTCTGTTATCTTTTGAGTCAGACAGCTCAAAATCCATTGTGTCCTGTAAGTGAAACCCCTCATCTCTTACTCTTTGAACTGTACTGAATAAACTGACATATCATAACTTCCACTGAAGTGAAAGACTAATCTCTAAGTTTGTACAACAAAAAGTTTGCAATAACTGGGTATCTAACTGGAAAAACTTAAGGTAGATAAAAATCTCAAACTTTAAACAAGCAGAAATCCCCAAAAGTTCAAAATTTAATTAAAGACAGTGAATCCATGAAAGTAAAAAAGAAACCACAAAAGGATGTCTAAGAAGCTCAGAACTGGAAAGGCTTTCTTTCTCTGAAATACAACAAACCCAAAAGGCTTAAAATAAAAAAAAGAATAAATCTGACTACACTTAAAAATTCTATCTGACTTCTAACCTTTACAGCTACCCCCAAAGTAAGTGCCTAAGCTCTGTATATATTTGGACAGATTAAATTTCCTAAAAAATTTTTTTCCTGAGACTATTCCATAAATATTCTCCCTTTCTAACATTTTTAGAGTGAGTTATAAGAATTACACCTACAGATAAGTGATAAATCTAAGCACTGTACTAAGCACGTCTACAAACATCAGTTAACTCATTTAGCTGTGACAATTCTGGAATAAAGGGTTAAAAACACAAGCAAGCTGCAGGGTTTCCCCCAGGGCTTCTGACTCTATGACTCTTACACCAAACCAAAGCTACTTCTCTAGGATAAATACATAAACACAAGAGAAGCCTTCTATTTCCCTAATGGTGAATACACTAAAGGTAAAGAAGGTAAAATTTACAGAGCTCTTCTTAGAAAATCAGGAGACTATTTGCTTCTGCAATAATTTTTATTTCTTCTTCATGGTGTTTATAACAACAATGGATGTGAAACAGCAGGGAAATACAGTGAACTGTTTTACTTAGAAATATACTACAGATCAATAAGTTATCACTAATTATAGATTATGGCATATCTATCACTATATTCAAAAGCTCCTTGTACTGAAATCGGATACCACATGGAGCAGAGCGTTACTTTTTATCACACATAGGAGAATGACACCCAAACTACGGTTTCTGAACTGGCTATACTTTTTCCTCCTTACCATCAGTGGAAATGATTAAGTAACCTCTCCATTCATCTATCAAAGGAGTGAGATCACTGCCAGAAACTAGAATGCCTGCCGTTAGTAGCAACAGTTTTTGAGATAACGGAAAGTTCATCAATTCCTATGGAAAATATGAATAGCCTCTCCTTGGATGAGGCCACTGTGAATGTCACTATGTCACTGTTGCCGGCAAATAGATTTGAATTCAAAATATTGCTTTATCCAATGGGCCAGAAATGAAACCTCAGAAAATATATTTACATATATAGGCTTTTAAAACCCTCTATACTCCCTATACCTATAGTATTGGTTTTTAAACTATGTAAGTATACAAGTTCATACACATACATGTTTGAAAACAACTAAAGAAAATACCTCAGCATTCATTTCCTCATTAGCCTTTTCTGCCTCCTTTTGTTGGGAAAGATGATGGGCCAGGATTTCATCTTGTATTACTCCGGCATTCTGCTCTCGAGAAAGTTGTCTCTGAGCGTCACTTCGCTCTTCTAAAACCTGGAGATATATTTCATTAGGTTTTGGGTTTTATATCATGAAAAAAAGTCAGAAAGAGCTTAGGAGGGGAATCTTTAAAAAAAATTTTTAAAAACTGTTAAAAAGAAGTAGCCTGTTAAGCACAGGGATCTTT